GTCTCTCAATGTCCAAGTTACGGCGGCAGATATCGTAGATAGCCTCGTTGTCGACCATGAAGGCGCAGTCGGAGTGCTCCAGGGTGGTGTGGGTGGTCAGGATGGAGTTGTATGGCTCAACAACAGCGGTGGAGACCTGAGGGGCGGGGTAGATGGCGAACTCCAGCTTGGATTTCTTTCCGTAGTCGACGCTGAGACGTTCCATGAGGAGGGAGGTGAATCCGGATCCGGTGCCACCACCGAAGCTGTGGAAGATGAGGAATCCCTGAAGACCGGTACACTGGTCAGCCAGCTTCCTGATTCTGTCCAGAACAAGGTCGACGATTTCCTTACCAATGGTGTAGTGACCACGGGCATAGTTGTTGGCGGCGTCTTCCTTTCCGGTGATGAGCTGCTCGGGGTGGAAGAGCTGGCGGTAGGTGCCGGTTCTCACCTCATCTGGAAACAACAACAATCCATTGGTTATTTCTTAATTAGTGATATAGAAATAACTATTGTCACTTTTAGGAGTGGAGGTTTAATATTACATTTGTTATTGAAATTCAATACGAAAAAATATTAATTTTATGTTTTAAAGGCCATAAAACTAAATCTTACATCAGTATGGGTATTTTAGTTTCTCATACTTATAGTATATTGGAACCGGAAAATCACAAAGTGACCATTGATTAATACGCTGTCTTTAAAAATGTGTACTCTAGCCAAACATGCAGATTTAAGATTATATATAGTATAATCAATAGGCCATTTAAATTCCTAGTCGCTAAGGTAAGTTTCCCTTTAAACATTCCCACCTAGGTCAATGAATTTTAAATCATAACCCTTCGTCATGCATTAAAATACACCTGGCGCGAAGCGGGGTCAACATGAATCGGCATGCCATATGGCCAATTCAAAATGGTGGGTTGGGGTTCTTACCGACGACAGTTGGCTCCAAGTCAACGAAGACGGCTCTTGGCACGTGTTTGCCGGCGCCGGTCTCGCTGAAGAAGGTGTTGAAGGAGTCGTCACCACCTCCGATGGTCTTGTCGCTGGGCATCTGACCATCAGGCTGGATTCCGTGTTCCAGACAGTACAATTCCCAGCAGGCGTTACCGATCTGGACTCCGGCCTGTCCGACGTGGATGGAGATACATTCCCTCTGTGGACGAGAATCAGAAAATTAGTTGACTTGTCTAACAAGAAAATTAATAATGCAAGAACTTATCAATTTAAGATAAAAAAAAATTAAAGATAAAATTTTATACCAAACATCAATGATTTTTTTTATTTCTACGCAGAGAAATAAATCTTAATAGAAGCGTTTAACCAATAAGAGGCAGTATTTTACATTAACTTTGATTTACAGACTGAGAACTATTTAAACATTGTTAAGTTTGTAAGATTTTTATGATAAAAAAAAATTCTTACCATGATTGTAGAGTTTTCTTGGTTTTACACAAAATGTAAAAGTATGAACCGTCAAGGTTTTATCCTCACGTAAAGCTGTAAAGTGCTCTGTGAGAAAAAAAAGGTAATGGCGTCTGCACCGGCCTCTGGATTTAAATACCCTTCGCCCTAGAAACAGACAACAAACGACAACTATTGATTGGTTGAAAGAAATTGTCGTTACTTTTCGGGCTTAAGGTCCAAGATATCCCGAAAAATTAATCCGAATATTTTTCCTCACGTAATCTAGAAAATCCTCGAGGGTATACGAACTGTTTTGACGACCTTATATTGATATACTGCTTATTCAGCGTTGTCATAATCTCTCGCTTCTTTACAAAACGATTAGTGGGTAAATATTTAAAAGGACCATATATGTTTGTTACATAGTGGTATAAGTATTTCACTGTGAAATGCGCGAAACTTCGATTGATCTTGAAATATCATTTTAAAAATATCAAGTACCTTAATAACTTGTTAGATCTAAAAGATGAAGTTTGTCAGTAGAAGAGAATAACATTATAATATCATACAGAATTTGTTTACACACACTTTAAAATACACAAGCCGCATGGGCCTATAAGAGTGAAAATTCGTTTTTTTTTTTCTGGAATCCTTATCAATTGAAATTGTATTTCACTGGAAAAGATATGCCTTCTGTTAACTTCTTATCTGCTGTTTTTCAAACAAAAATAAATAAATAATACGAGGACAAGAAGCTCAGTCTTTGGGTGAATAGAAAGTCAAACTGCGGAACAGTTACTGATGACATGTGTCTGTATGATGCCAAACATTCTTCAGTTATGCTTCAATGATGTACAGCGCGTAAAAAACTAATTAAATACCCGTACCATTTCCACTAATTAAATACCACGGCTACTTGTCGACAGGAACCCCCCCCCCCCGATATTCAACCCCAGGGCTACTTTATGTTTGTTGGACATTTTTTCATAAATTATATTTATTGCTCTTATCATGTGTACCATAGGAAAAAAACGTGAAAACCCCAAAATAATCGTTCCACACAAAAATACCCCTATATACTCCCATTATGTATAGTGGGGTATTTTTGCTGTGGAAGGATTATTTTGGGGTTTTCACGATTTTTTCCTATGGTACACATGATGAATAAGTATAATAAATATAATTTGTTAAAAAATGTCCAACAATCATCTGGGTTGAATTGGGGGGGGGGGGGGGGGGGGGGAGTCCACAAGTACATGTGTTAAATACATGTACCATTTCCATATTAAACAAATGTACCTTATATATATATATATATATATATATATATATATATATATATATATATATATATATATATATATATATATATATATATATATATATATATATATATATATCTTGAAAATATAAACTAGAAAATTAAAATCGGGTGATTTTTATCAATATGTTTCTCGCTACCTTTTCCGATCGAGAACCCGGTAACTTGGATGGTTTTTCATCACACCTTTTAACATTATTGCTAGCGGTATAATTGTAATATATATGTATGTTCAGTGTTTACAATTTCTTTTACTTATCGTATCTTTTATATACTACACTGTATTAAATATATATTTTTTTAATTTACTAAAGTACATATGAATTTTATGCTCTGTTCACACGAATGCGCATTTAATATTTAATTCAGCAGTAACTCACGTTAATTCGATTTTATTATCTCTCCGTGTGATCAGGGCATTATTTATCATTAGAAAAACAATATATTCTAAATAAATTATTTTCGAGTGTCACTAGCACCAGCTAGGGCAGAGAATACCGGTGATACCCCCAAATACTTTTCTGTTTTGCGGGTATGTTATTAATGTTATTTCAATATTTTATACCTTTTCTTTGATATAAAGGCTGCATGCACATATGTAAGCAACAGGCACACAGCAGGCACACACATTTGTTTGAATGAATGGACTTTACGCGATGACTCAGTGCAGAATTGTCAGCCAATAACAAAGTTTGTAAGTTGTTTTTTTTTTTTTTTTTTTTTTAAAGTTTATTAATCCACCGTGATCGTATAGATTTTAAATATAGTTACTGAAATCTCATCAGAATAGACCAATACACTTGTTTTAGCTAAAGTTTTTAAGATCCGCCCTAAATATTTAAGAAGAGCGTAGAACTAAAACTCAAAAGTAATAATTAATGTAAGGTCCGAAAAATTAGAGTCTAAAGTGTAGTCCAAAGAGTATTCCAAAAGAGAGACTTGTTTTCCGACAAAACGGGGTATTTTGTGCCCAGAGCGTTTTCATGGTCATGGACTTTATTATTGGCTGTCTTACCATTGCTTTGCCACCTACGATTGGTCCGTAGGTCTGTCCGTTGACCAATGAACCCCAACATGGCACCACCCTCCCTACATTACTATTATTTATGGACTCTGTCCACATTTCTGCACCGCAGGAGTTCTATCCCTAAGTTCTTTTACTTAAGCTCTTCTACTTCAAAGTTAATTCCCAATTTTGTTTCTCTTGGTCAAGAATCTTAATAGTAACTTTGCATTTCCGTTGGAATTTTATTACTTAGTATCGATGGACTTGATTGTTCTATTCTGATCAATTTCATTACAAAATGATTAACAAAATTATAGTATCAACATCAAAATCCAGTTTTTTCTAACAAGATAATTATAGTTCATGGAATTAAAGTCTCTTTTCCAATTATAAAGTCACTGCATGTGGTACACTTATAATGTACATCCTTGTTTAATAAACTTTTATTTAATTTACTGTCAGTCTGCCACTATTAAGTTCACTATTAATTACTAAAATTATTATGTTATGAATATATTCCAAGTTTAAAATGTTCAAATAAAATGTCTATGCTAAACCCTATAGGTTTACAGAATGGGGTATGGATTCTTCATTGCTAATAATTTTCTTGACTAGCAATATATAATCAAATTGCTATGACACAAAAAATGTAATTTTTTAAACAATTCTAATATGAAAAGTTCCTGTACACTCTCAGTATAGGATATACATCAACGTACTTTAAAACAATAGTCTGAACTTTAACACAATAATTGTTTTCATTTGGGGGGGGGGTATTTTTAATTTTGGGGTTCTTCTTTCTTTAAAGATTTGTATAATATCCTTCTTATGTAATCCAATGTAAATCTTTGGACGTCTTTTAATTGTTGTTTATGTCATGCATACATATTGCGAGTGAAAATTAAAGGCATACTATCTCATTTGAATTGAATACTTCAAAGCAAAATATTTCCCTGTAGGAAATATTTTGCATTGAAGTATTCAATTAAAATGCGATTATATGCCTATTTCACTCTCAATATTTAATTGACCCAGAGAGACAATGTCCTATTACTATAAATAGAAATTGTATTTTCCACAGGGAAATGTGAGCCAAATGAACAAGATGGAACCCAGTTCGCAAGAACATGTACCCATGTAAGTAACAGTTTTCATATCAAAGAGGATCTGACTTTCTATCTTATTTAATCATACAATTATTGCACTATTCCTTATTTTTAAAAGAAATAACGTTTCTAAAGAGAGTTCTTATCGTTCAACAGTAGAACGACAGCACAGCATATGTCAGAATCTGTGTTTGTGGGTCTGTGTAGAACAGTTGGGTCTTCATCCATTGTCGCTATAAGGCGAGATATGATGGACATTGCTGAGAAGTTTTATGATCAAACCGAAATGAACGAGATTTATGTTTGTATAGATAGTGGTAGTTACAGAGAAGGTTTCAGATTGGAGGGATCGGATAGGGACATCATAGCCTGGTCCAAGCAACAGAGTGTGATCTGGGATTTATCTCAAGCGCAGTACTGCCAATCAATTAAATCAACACATATTTTTGCTGACTGTTCTGAAAGTTCACCTGGATTTGCTTTACTTCAATTGTTAACACCAACAACTGATGAAACTGTCCGTAGAAGCTGTTTTAGAATGAATGGCAAACTCTATATATCAAGTTCTGTCCACAGACAGACGAAATGTTCAGCAGTTGGAATTGAATCTAAAATACACGGACCATGTGTAAGTGGTCATTGCGGACAGGTAGAATATGACGCTGCTCATGGTTTTGTAAGCGATATTTGGCCTCCACCTGCATCTTCATGGATAGAGCGGTGTCAAATTTGGCCTTCATATCACATTGTAAATGAAATTATAGAAGGTGGTTGTCACTTTGTTGCAATAGGAAATAAAATGGGAAATCATGAGGACAGCGAGTGGAGAATTTCATTCTCTTTGGCCGAACAAAAACTTGTATATTCGATGAATCACTACCATTTCTTGATTTATGGTTTGCTGAAAATTTTCCTTAAGGAGGTCATCAATAACACCCCAGATGAAGACAATTTGTTGTGTTCTTATCATATGAAGACAGCCGTGTTTTGGGCAATTCAGAGCGACACCTTGACTAGTTTGTGTCCACAAAACATTCTTGAGGGTTTCTGGGTGTGTTTTAAACTAATCCTAAAATGGGTGTATAAGGGTTACTGTCCTAACTTCTTCATTCCAGAAAATAACATGTATCTTGCTAAAATTTTTGGTACAACGCAAAAGAATTTGTTTTCCAGGCTGTATGGATTGTATGGTGAAGGCTTATCATGCTTGTTAAAAAGTTCCACCATAAAGTCATACATCGTGAAGTTTCCCTATGATCCAAATTGTTCGATTGATACAGATGAAAATACTCTTTTCTCGGCTGAAGATTTCGATTTAGAGGTGTACGATAATATCTGGACGTACATGTATACTGCAATTCACTTACCTAATCTTTCCTACTGTTTAAAAGCTCTACACTCAATAGAACAGCTCATGTGTTTACCCTTGAACCAGTTTCAAGTTGTCTTGTTACAAAGAATACTAGTGTCTTTTCTTCAAGACACCACTTTTATACTACACAGCCTGTATAATGATGTTTCAATGTCTAATTTAGATAGAAGAGGCAATAAATTAATGTACTTTGTTGACGAAACGTTTCTTCACATGCTCAAATTTGCAGCAAAGTTCGGATCTTTATTTGACATTGTCTATATTGTAATGCATTATTACAAGACATGTAGATATAGCAAAGCTTCATCTATTTTAAAGATGGTAAAGGTCAAATTGAAAGTATTCACACCTTCTTATCCAATGCATAATACTTATATAGATACAAAGATGCATACTGAGGCCACAAGGGGGCTTTCATGGGCTAAAAAAATTAGAAAGTTGGCAATTACGGACTTTCGTTATTACGTTAACATTCCATATATAAATGAATTAAGAATTGAACAATTTTACAGTGTACAAAACAAACAGCTGTATTTACGTATCCCATCTCTTGTACTGTTCCACATGTTGGAGTTCCTGTGCTACAGACACACTGACATTCTGAGTTCTCAAAAAGCTTTGGAAGACCTACATGTACTAGTCCACCAAGGGCAAATGATACATGAAGAGAGTAGAGACATCTCATGGCAGATTCTTGGAATCTGTCAGCAAATCTCAGAGAACTATCAAGCTGCTTTGTATGCGTATCTACAGTCTCTTACAGTAGATCCATGTAACAGCATTCAAACTGCCACACTAGTAAGGATATTGATTGCAATAGCCGCGAGTCAATAAGTCTTTACCAAAATGAAAAGTTCGGAAATTGGATATAATAGGGCATACTCTGTTGATCTTTCCAGAAAACTAAGAATTTGGGATATTTTTACACTTGGCATAAAAGATTGATTTTTTTCTCTTAAATTCTATGATATATATCTTCAGATGATTTCAAAATACTGGAATTGTTGGATGCATCATTCCACTCAATGGAAAAATTGCAAATGTTTTTCTTATGTACACTATTAACATGCTTTGTGTATTTTCATGTTTTGCGGACAATTACATATAAGATTGTTTAATAGAATTATTAGATGTATCTTTGATTAATAAAAATTCAAAAATATATATATTTACATCCACTGAATATTTTTCGTATGAAAACCACTTCTTTTATCAACCAGTTAACACCGGTTAGAACCGGTTTTTCAAACTACCTGTATAAATTTCTTATGTATTATGCATATCAATCAAGGATACCTACAATGAAGTATCAACAATACAATATCCAACGTACTTAAAACTACATATTTTTCTAATTATACAGACATAAATATAAACATAGAATAACTTTGTTTGTTAGTTCGAGAATTAATGGTTGCAGCTATTGCAGAAAAAAATTACAAAACCCGCGGTAATGTATTTTTTTTTTCTGCAACAGCAGCAACGTATATTCCCATACTTAAAAACAGAAAAGAAAGCATGACATTGTATTGTTTAAGAAACAACAACATTTCAATTTGTTTAACTGACGAGACACACATTAATTTAATACGTAAAAATGATTAATCACCACATTCTGAATAAAAAGTGAAAGGCAATTTCCTATTTTTGAATTTAAAAAAATAAAACAACAGAATAATTAGAAACTTGATATGTGCTTTAAAACTCTTACAAGTTTGACTTTGCTTAAATATGTTGAAAGATTTGGTTAGGACATTAAATGGAAGGTCATTAAGCTGATTGCATCCTGGCTTTGGTTGGCTCAAAATAGATGAAAGCTTAAAGGAATTATTTAAAAAAATATCACGTAATCCAAAATAAGTCATAAGTCAATACCTTGATTTCCCACTCCCTATTTTTCCGGATTACGTTTTTTAAAATTAATTTTCTTCATTTCACACCAACTTCCTGAGCATATCTGCTACATTAAAGTTAGTTCCAGCATAATAACTACATTATAATCTTACGAATGATAATGTCATCTGTCCAAAAGCGGTACTAATATATACATGAAGAAACCAAAAACGCAAACTGATTCAAGGAACTGCTAAATTTAGTTCATAAATGCCACCATTCGTAACATTTTTGATATTTTTCTTTTTATGTGAATTGAGTTCAACAACGTTAATGTGCCTAAAAAGTTTGAACTGAATCTGTTAAGCATTGTGAAGAATATCAACGAAAAACAATCATAATTGAAGAGAATCGGGAGTCGGCAGTACAAAATTTTACACCAGCCGTATATGTAGTGTTGGGGTATTCCGTGGTAATGGATTCTGTATTGATGGAGTATTGGGTAGTGGTGGTATTCTGTGGTTCTAGTGGCACCTGAAGTACCTAGATATGACGTCATATAGCAGATGACGTCATTTCACTGTAAACTTGAGCTAACATGACAGGAAAGTGTCATAACTTAAACATTTACTTCATATAACGTATAGAAATATTTTTACCTTCATTTGAATTCAGGTGTCTAGATTATTGTTATAAACTTCAGTGTCCTGTTATTTAGTGGATTTTTGCAATATAATATTGGTATTCCTTTCTATTGTCTGAAAGGCAGTGCATTCAAACAATAACAAAGAAGTTGAATGTGAAACGCACCCCGGCCGTTACCCTTCCGTAGACAGAGCAAGAATTCATACATTTTGCATATATAAGACTGGCACAAGTGATTCATTTGGATAAATTGAAGATATTCTGTGTGAATCTAAAAGAGAAGTATGTCCTGTAACTGAATATTGCTGGGGGATTGTATGTAACATAGCCCATTTTGTATGAATTGCGATGAAGAGTGGAAAATGCCCTCATATGTATGGTTAAGTTGAAGTTCTCATAAAATATTTACTTTACATGTAAAATTCAGACTTGCCCCCACCACGTTATATATACACTGGAATACGATCAAATGACCTATGTAATAAAGCTTCACAATAATTTGTTATGCCCTTGTGTCGATGCGATTTTTGTGCAAAATTTAGGGGAAAATATAAGTGTCCGTCAAGTGTACAACCAAGTCATGTGACATCTGACATCACAAAAATGCTCTATAATATAAAACTTGATAAAACTCCTTTGGCAAATTGGCTGTACAAGTATGCATAGTTAACAAATGAAAATCAAAATCTACCTCTAAATTAAATAGTATGTTTATAAATATTAGTCTTCGAACAGCCTTAACATAGATCGCAATCTGTGGTGATGGTGGATTCTGTGGTGGTTAAGTATTCTGTTTTTGTCGAGTATTCTGTGATGATTCTGTATTTTGGGGGTATTACGTGGTGGTTATGGAGTATTTTGTAGTGGTGGAGCTTGCCGTGGTGGTCTACACTGAATTTGTTTGTTAACAATATCTATTTGAAGATTGAAATAAGTGTTATTGGTGAATTCAAAAATAATGATCGACAAATTGAAATTTCTTTAAAAATTCAACTTACCATAATATATTTTTCAATTATAACATCATATTGTATATACATTCTAGTTAAAATTTCCGAGTGAAAATAAAATTGACAAATGCATAAAAAGTTTCAAAATCATTAAACGGAAGTTATTTTTTGAATAAAAATAGACATTTAAAATTGTTTACAATGCAACTGTGTCCAGGCCCCTTTAAAAAGCAATCGAGAGAAAAACTTTGTAAACAGTATGCGTTTTTAAATGAATAGTGTGTAAAGGACTATGAAAAGAAATATTGATTTCTAATAAAGTTATGGACCAAAACGTTATTACATTGAAAATACTACAAAGAAGAATCAAAAATGTACATAAGATCTTGTTTCCCCGCCAAACTGTTCAAGAGAAAAATATCATTTTACTTTATATCGAAATGGAAATTTCTCCATATACATGTAATATCACAACAGACAATATCACAAATACGATGGAGCCCAGATTGCAAAAACTTGTACCCACGTAAGTTGAACAACTATATTTATATCAAATAATAACTGTCCGACTAATTATCTAACTATTCAATCATTTAATTTATTTTTAAGTAGTTCCCTTTCAATTTTTAAATCATTTTTCAACAGAAATAGAGAAACACGACTTCTATCAAAATCTGTGTACGTGTGCTTTTGTAGTAAAGTGGGGGCATCATCTATGGTTTCTATGAGACGAGATCTCATAGACTTTCTTGAAATTCTTATAACAAAACTCGAAATGAAAGCTATTGTTGGGATGATGAGTGGAAGTTACAGAGAAGGTTTCAGAATGAAGGGATCGGATTTGGACCTGATGCTCTGGTCTAAACATCATCAAGTAATCTGGGACTTGTTTCAAGCTCAGTATCTCAATTCATCCAAATTAACACAGATTCTTGCCGACTGTTCTGAAAGTTCACCTGGATTTGCTTTTCTTCAGTTACCAAAACCAACATCTGATGAAACTGTCCTTAACGCCTGTATCACAATGGATGATAAACTCTGCATATCAAGTTCCGTCCATAGAGAGATTCTTTGTTCAGGATATGGAGATGCTTTTAAAATACATGGACCTTGTATCAGGGGACTTGAAGAACAGATAGAATGGATACAGAGGTCTCAATTTTGGCCTGGATCTCACATCGTAAATAATATAATCGAAGGTGGTTGTCACTTTGTAGCAATAGGACACAAACTAGGAATTCATGGGAACGACGAATGGAGAATTTCTTTCTCTCTTGCAGAACCAAAACTTGTACATTCGAAGAATCACTATCAATTCTTAAAATATGGGTTAAAACTTTTTGTAAGAGAGGTAATCAATAACACTCCAGACGGAAACGAATTATTGTGTTCCTATATCGTGAAGACAGCCGTGTTTTGGACAATTCAAAACGATGCAATTCCTTATTTGTGCCCACAAAATTTTCTGGATGGTTTTTGGGTGTGTTTTAAACTCATTCTAAAATGGGTGAATGAAGGTTGCTGTCCTAACTTCTTCATTCCAGAAAACAACATGTTTTTTTGTACCTGGTTTTATAGAGTACAAAAGAGGCTTTTTTCAAGATTTATTATATTGTATGCGAAGGGTATATCATGTTTGTTAGAAAGTTCTACCATTCGGTCTTTTACTTTTTATTTAGATATACCAGCTTGTGACGGTTCATATTATCGTTTTGTACATATTGTCGTCGGCGACAATATGTACCTACCCTCACGGCACATATTGTCGTCCATCGGTACATATTGTCGCCGGCTGAAAAATTACATATGTACATATTGTCGCTGGCGACATTATGTACCTCACCCTCACTGTACATATTGACGCCCCACAGATATTATTGCTTAAAGTTTTCTTTTGTTGTTTTTTGGTAGTTTTGTGAATGTAATTGGTGTGTGAATCACACAGACGTGTCTTGTATGCCATTTCGTGCAGCGTAATTGTGACGGTATATTTTGTTGTCCTGTTTATATTGTCGTCGGCGACAATGTGTACCTACCCTTAATGCGCATTTTGTCGTCCATCAGAACATGTCGCAAGACAATGCACGGCAATGCTCCATATAAATATGACTAATCATTGCTTTGCTATTTTTGATGAGATGATTTTTAAAGAATTTTTCCATATATTCTTATGTAGAAATTTGATCGCTCATTGTGGCCCCACCCTAGGCCCGGTTTGATTTGAAGAAACTTGAATCTGTGCTACCTGAGGATGTTTCCATACAAACATCACTAATCACTGGCTTACTGCTGTTTCTCAGTGGTGGATCCAGAAATTTTCAGAACGGAGGGGGGGAGGTGCGGTTCAGAATATTTTTTTTGACAAGCCAAAATAGAAAATGAAATTTGTATGTAAAGATGTGTTACTGCAGTGACGGATCCAGGAGTTTCGTAACGGGGGGGGGGCATTAGAAGGCAAGGGGTCTGGGGGCTGCATTGAAGCCCCCAGTGGGTCTAGGGCAAAGCCCTGGTGGGGGCCCCCGAGGTTGACAAAATCTTACAAATGAAATATTTTTTTCCTAGATTTTCGGATCAATCCTGGACACAATTTTCTGACCAAAAAGTTTTCTCCCTACAGTATTGGGAGTAATGCTGTCTGTCTCCCACCGTGCTTGTGTGCGTGTTTGTCAATCTCTCTTTCCTTTCTCAAAATATTCGTCAAAACAATATATCGACGACAATATATGCCGACCTTGACTGTACATATTGTCGCCGACGATAATATGTGCTGGTGCTTGACTGTACATTTTGTCGTCCATTATGCAGGCTGAAAATAAGGCTCGTCTCGGTACATATTGTCGTCAGTGACAATATCTACCGATGGACGACAATATGTGCCGTGAGGGTAGGTACTTATTGTCGCCGACGACAATATGTACAAAACGACAATATGTACCGTCACACAGCTTTTGTTCTCTTACACATGTTAGAGTTCTTGTGCTACAAGAAATTGGGCATAGTGAGTTCACAAGTAGCTTTAAACGACTTACAGATTTTAGTCATCCAAAGCTCGAGGATGTTTATTGATGAAGATTACAGAGACATTTCTTGGCAGATTCTTGGCATCTGTCAACAAAACTCAGAAAACCAACAGGCTGCTTTGTATGCATATCAACAAGCTCTCTTAGCTGATCCATGTAACAAAATTCAACATGCCACAAGAATAAGGAAACTGAATGCAAAAGTTCATACTTTTAAGGCCTTTTCAGAAAACTAAGAATACGGAATATCTTTACACTTGCATAAATGATTGAGTGTTTAAACATATTAACGATGGACTGCAGTTGCAAACAAGGTCATGTATCTACCATTAAGGAAGAAGGTACGGATTAAATACATATCTGGCCCAGTACTTTTTTTTAAAAATATGAAATTGTTTTAAGAAATTAAAACACGTGCTTTCTGAATTTTTCATATTCCATGCAGTAAGATCATACAAATTGTTTTTCTTATATGACCTTCTAAGTGCCAATTATGACGTTATAAACTTGTGCATTTTCCCATATTTTCTTTAAAAAAAATTGCAGAGGACATAAATTTTCAGTGGAATTTTTTTTTCAGATAATATAGACCACAGGCATTGTCCATAATGATTTTAAGAAATGTGATTTCTTAGATTTATGCAGAACATAACTATCCAAAAATTGAAGTGGGCGACGGCTGTGGAGACTATTTTCTTAACGAAAATAACCCCTTAAATGTCATTTTTAGGTTTTTTCTATTTAAAACTTAGAATTGTAACAAATTCATGAGGTCATATTTCTCTTTATGCCAAATTCTTTCATTATTTTTCAAATTCATATATTCAATTGTCATTTAAGCATGTTTCATAACTTCTTGAAGCATCAAAATTGTGGGCATAATTAAGCCAAAGCCGAGCCTTTTTCTGTGCGAAATGTTGACTTTAAACGAGATTCTTGATATCCTTTACTCATCACTTATTTGTCAATAACCTGTCTCTTTTTAACAATTCATGCTCTTGCGTATAACCTGTCTCGTTTTAGCAATTCAACTGGGAAACATAAACCTCATATGCAAGTGATAATGCATATGGTATAATGCTACATAAAGAAGGGAAGTTGACGATGGAAAATTGAAAGTGAAGTCATCACGTTTATCATTAAGTTTAGTTGTAGTTGTTTTGTTTTATAAAAATGATAATAGAACACTTAAAATAACACTTTAATTCATAAAATTTACCCGTTTCCACATTTCTGAGGTGTCAGTCATATCTGCTTACCTCTCTTCTTTTATACATTAAAATAGTCATTTTATGGCCCACCGACTCCTTATTTTTTAGAGGCTCGTAGAACGCGGGGGAGGGGGGGGGGACAGGCCCCGACTTTTTCTGAATATAGTATTTTGCTATAGTAAATTTACCTTTAGATTATGGTTCCCCCAACTTCTTGTTGCTGCAAGGTCGAGCACTGATAAATTCTAGGATATTGACAGGAGGTTTTTTTTTTTTTTTTTTTTTTTTTTTTGCTTGTCAGATCTTTTTTTAGGAGGTTGCCGCCCTTTTTAAACTGTTGCTACATGCCTGTTTTACTCATGTTTTGATCCCTTTTAATTTTGGTAGTCCTCTCAACAAATGTAAACTAAGAATATTCTAATTTTAGAACACATATTTTTGGGACTTAAATTGATTATTAAACTCTATGAAAAATTTCAGAAAGTCTGGTGTCCTGCCATTTTTCAAAGCTTTATATATGAGTTATATCTCACAAAAATATTCTTTCTTCAAATAATGAAGACGTCAAATTAAAATGCCAAAATTGAAAAGCTTAGTTCTAATTCACTCATTTGAATACAATACATGTTTAAACAAAGAGAAAAACAAGGAAAAAAAACCTCACATACTGTAAGTCGTTTTAATTCCACGGTGTTAAAATTTCATGATTTCTCAAAAAGTACCAATCGCGATGGTTTTAATTTCACGCTGCAAGAAATTAATTTAAATTTCATATTAGCATTTAAACGTTTTTAAAAACTAATGATAGCATTCACTATTGGTTTAATTTCTCGGAAAAATGATGAATCGCGAACAAAGTGAAATTAAAACCATCGTGATTATTTGCCAATCTACAGTATTTGAGCAAAACTTTTTCAGTGTTATGTGTACATAATATCATCAGTTTATTTGACACTGATTTTTTTTAAAAGATCAGTTTAAGTTACTCCATACCTAATAGCATCGGATTCAATGAAATTGAACACATACATGTAAGTAACGTAGGGGGTGAATACTCAGTATATTTCATTGTTCGCTTTCTTTATCTTTTTCATTAGACATTATTCCCATTTAGAAGAGTTGAATGTGTCCTAATTTATTACCTTGACCTTTGTTGAAGAATTATCTCCCCCTGCTTTTAATTAATAAAAATCAATTTTACAAAGATCTATCTGGTAGAAAATTGTTTTCAATCGTCATTCTGTTTCTAACGATTCAGTGCATCTTTCCACCACAGTATTTATTGGTATTCTTATTGTTTGAATTTCTATTTAAAAAAAAATTACTTTTCTCCACATTACTTATTTCACATATTTTACACCTTTTCTTTGATATAATGGCTGTCTAAACAGCAGACACACACAATTTTTTGAATGAATGGAGTTTGCGCGTGTCTCTGTGCAGAATGGAATATGAATTCTTCATTGCTAATAATTTTCTTGACAAGCAAATATATAATCATATTGCTATTAAATATTACGATACAAAAACGTAAATTTTTTCTTGATAAAAGGCTCCGTAATAAACAATCCTAATATAAAAAGTTCCTGGACACACTCAGTATAGGATACACATCAACGTACTTTAAAACAGAAGACTGAACTTTAACACAATGGTTGTTTTCATTTTTTGATTATTTTAAATTTGGGGGGTCTTCTCTCCCTAAAGATTTGAATGTCTTTTTATGTTGTTTTATGTCATACATAAATATTGCGAGTGAAAAAGCCATATTATCGCATTGTAATTGAATACTACAAAATATTTCCTGCCAATTGATCCAGAAAGACAATACCCTATCGCTATAAATAGAAGTAGTATTTTCCATAGGGAAATATGAGACCTATGATCAAGATGGAAGCCAGTTTGCAAGAACATGTACCCATGTAAGTAGCAGTTTTTATATCAAAGAATATCTTACTTTCTACCATATTAAATCAAACAATTATTGTAATATTCCGTATTTTTAAAAAGAAACAACGTTTCTAAAGCGAGTTCTTATCGTTCAACAGTAGGACGAAAACACAACATATGTCAGAATCTGTGTTTGTGGGCCTGTGTAGTACCGAGTCTTCATCTATTGTCGCTGTGAGGCGAGATATGATGGACATTGTTGAGAAATTTTATGATCTAACCGAAATGAACCAGACTTATGTTTGTATCGATAGTGGGAGTTACAGAGAAGGTTTCAGATTGGAGGGATCCGATAGGGACATCATGGCCTGGTCCAAGCAACATCGAGTGATCTGGGATTTATCTCAAGTGCAGTATCAATCAATCAAATTATCACATATTTTTGCTGATTGTTCTGAAATTCCACCTGGATTTGCTTTACTTCAATTGTTAACACCAACAACTGATGAAACTGTCCTTAGAAGCTGTTTTAGAATGAATGACAAATTCTATATATCAAGTTCTGTCCACAGACAGACGAAATGTTCAGCTGCTGGAATTGAATCTAAAATACACGGACCTTGTGTAAGTAGTACTTGCGGACAGGTAGAATATGACATTGCTCATGGTTTTGTAAGTGACTTCTGGCCTCCAGTTGCATCTTCATGGATAGAGCGGTGTCAAATTTGGCCTTCATATCACATTGTAACTGATATATTCAAAAGGGGTTGTCACTTTGTTGCAATAGGAAATAAAATGGGAAATCATGAGGACAGCGAATGGAGAATTTCATTCTCTTTGGCCGAACAAAAACTTGTATACTCGATGAATCACTACCAGTTCTTGATTTATGGTTTGCTGAAAATTTTCCTTAACGAGGTCATCAATAACACTCCAGATGAAGACAATTTATTGTGTTCTTATCATATGAAGACAGCCGTGTTTTGGGCAATTCAGAGCGACACCTTGTCTAGTCTGTCCACAAAACATTCTTGAGGGTTTCTGGGTGTGTTTTAAATTAATCCTAAAATGGGTGTATAAAGGTTACTGTCCTAACTTCTTCATTCCAGAAAATAACATGTATCTTGCTAAAATATTTGGTACAACGCAAAAGAATTTGTTTTCCAGGCTGTATGGATTGTATGGTAAAGGCTTATCATGCTTGTTAGAAAGTTCCACCATAAAGTCATACATCTTGAAGTTTCCCTATGACCCAAATTGTTCGATTGATACAGATGAAAATACTCTTTTCTCGGCTGATGATTTCGATTCAGAGGTGTACCATAATATCTGGACGTACATGTATACTGCAATTCACTTACCTAATCTGTCATACTGTGTAGAAGCTCTACATTCAATAGAACAGCTCATGTGTTTACCCTTGAATCGGTTTCAAATTGTCGTGTTACAAAGAATACTAGTGTCTTTTCTTCAAGACACCACGTTTGTACTACACAACCCATATAATGATTTTATCCTACAAAATTCAAGGTCTTATTTAGATAGAAGAGTCAATAAATCAATGTAACTTCTTGACAAAACGTTTCTTCACATACTCAAATTTGCAGCAAAGTTCGGATCTATATTTGACATGCTATATGTTGTATTGTATTATTACAAGACATGTAGATATACCAAAGCTTCATCTGTTTTAAAGAAAATAAAGGTCAAATTAGCACCTTATTATCCAATGCATAATTGTAATAAAAATATGAGTACCGAAGCCCCAGGAGGACTGTCATTGACTAAAAAATGAGAAAGCTGGCAATCAAGGACTTCCGATATTACGTTAACATTCCATATATAAATGAATGAATTGAGCAGTTTTACAGTTTACAGAGCAAAGAGCTGTATTTACGTATACCGTCTTTTGTGCTGTTGCACATGTTAGAGTTTTTGTGCTACAAACACATTGACACACGCAATTCACAAAAAGCTTTGAAAGACCTAGATGTACTAGTCCAACATGGGTTGTATATACATGAAGAGAGTATAGACATATCATGGCAGATTCTTGGAATCTGTCACCAAATTTCGAGGAACCATCAAGCTGCTTTGTATGCTTATAAGCAAACTCTTACAGTAGATCCATATAATAGCATTCAGACCGCCACACTTATAAGGATACTGATTGCAATAGCTGCGAGTCAATAGGTCTTAAGTGTTCAAATAATGGATATAATAGGGCATACATAAACCTTATTGGTCTTTACAGAAAACTACGAATTTATTATGTTTTTACACTATACATAAAAGATTGTACATTTTCTTTCTATAATATATATCTCCGGATGATTTCGAAGTATATGCACTGGAATTACTTAAAACCATCAATGAAAAAAATCGCACATTACTTTTTACATATTTTACTTTCGCATGCTTTGTGTATTTCATGTTTTGTAGACAAATGCATGTCAGATTGCTGATAAGAAATGTTGAATAAACCTTTTAAACAACAACGTCTCCATTTGTTTAACTGAAGAACCTTACATGACGTATATGATACATATTTTTGTATAACCACATTCTGAAAACAAAAGCTAAGGGAAAGATGGAAATACTAGACATATAAGTACAAACCAATAGACTTATTGTCTCATGAGAGACTCCTTACTCATACCCATTCATAAAACACAATGCAAACTATTTTCTTCCATTAAAAAACATGAAAGAGATTTCCGAGGATCCAGTATCAACAATAATAATGGTTTTTGGACATATTCAAAATTATTATGCTATGAAAACCACGCATACGAATATATCATAGAAAACAACAAGGAGCACATAGAAAATATCGTACTTTCAACACAAGGACGGACATCAAACTTATACCAAGAAGTTCTTTGTACTCTGATGAAATGCTTTTTTATCTTTGTATCGTCAAACAAATTGTCCAACATTTTCTAGATACTAATTTCTTTTAAACAAGAATAAAATGAGGACCAAGGCTTACAAAATATTATACGTATTAATTAGATTTTATATCTGAATGCAAACAAAGTAAAATTCAAGACACATACTAACTAAAACGCTGTATGCATATAGCATCTTAATCTATGCAGAAAATTGAATCTGAATTCTTCCTAAGAAATACAGTTAATATTATAACTGTCATGTCACAAAAAATTCATAACCAAATATCTCTTCATGCAGATAATTTTAAAGCATATATGATTACTTAGAATAATCTCTCAGTTTCTATTTTTCTAAGGGGAAAACAGGCATACATTGGAACCTTCTACTTCTATGTCTTCTAGTATAGAAAGTTTTGGAAGCAGATCCTAAATATTTTAGTCTACATTAAACATTTATATATAACCCGTTGATTAACACGTGAGAAAACTAAGTATAAAGGTCAAACAGCATAAAGATAAATCTTTTATTTTAAAACATGATATCTTCATTTTGATTTGCATCCAAAATTTGAGAAGCAGTGTACCCTACATGAACATGACACCAGGAATTACATTGTTTTAGATAACTTGAGTCTTTTTATCATAAGGAGCTAGAAGTCCAGTTCGTAGTTGACAAAATGACCTTTCACATGCTTAAATTTGCAGCGAAGTTTGGATGTATTACTGACTTGCTGTATGTGGTAATGTACTATTATAAGACACGCATATATATTAAAGCTTTAACTGTTTTGAAGATGATAAAGGACAAAATAATTTCTTCTTTAGACACAACGATATATACTAAGGATACAAGGGGAAATTCCTGGACTAAGAAAAAGAGAGATCTAGTAGTCACCTTTATCAACCTTTACAATGGAGTCCCATATATAAGTGAACTAATGCTTGAACAACATTACAGTTTACAACACTTTGAGCCATATTTAGGCATTCCACCTCTGGTACTGTTATACATGTTATTGTTACAAATATATTGACACAAAGAGTTCTCAAGAAGCTTAGACAACCTACAGGTTATAGTCTAGGAAGGAGAAGAGAGTGTTCACAGATGAAGAAAGTAGAGACATCTCATGGCAGATACTCGGAATCTGTAAACAAATCTCAGGGAACTACCAAGGTGCTTTGTATGCATATCAAAAATCTCTCACAGAAATTCCACATCACAAAATTCAACAAGCCACACTGGTTAGGATACTGATTGCAAAAGCACAGAGTCAATAGGTCTTTACCAGAATAAAGAACTTAGAATGTTTTTGTTTGTTGCACAAAGATTCAGTTTTTCCCATCAATTTATAATATTTTAGTATATACCAAAATGTTTTGCAGGTCATAAAAATATCATTCAAATGGACGGAGGGAGAAAGATTTTGATCGTTTCATATCCATAGTTATAAGGTGTTTTAATATTTACCCCTACTTTTTGTGGGGAAATTGCATATAAACAGTCATTTAAAACAATCATTGAATCCATGTATTTTTAATAAATAAATAGAATTTGGAAAATTACATAAAAAGTTTTTCTTCAAGAATATAGTTTATTCAATTATTAATTGTGAAAATTGACTTCTTATCACTGCACTCTTAATTAAAATAAAATGCAAATTCCCATTTCTGAATGATTAAAAAGAATAAAAACAATGACACCATAAGGAAATATGTATATACTCTATTAAAAAACTGTCCATTTTGGAGATGCTTGAAAAAGTTAAAATATTTTCGTGGACAATCAAGTGTATTGCCAGAAAGGTAACTTCCACCATGGGTTTTGGTGTCTCAAAATAGAGGAAAATTTGGTGGAACTAAAACGAGTCAAGCAAAACAAATAGCACTATCAAGTTAATATGGAAATTATTATATCTGTATGCTGTTCACATAAAGAGTATCTATAATGTTGTTGCTGTTAATATTCCTTAAATAGATAGATTCCTTCAATATTTATTTCTGGCTCGAAAGTACTTTTCACATACCGGTAGTTTTGTTTTGAGCATTATATTCTCAGAGAACTAGTGCCTTGTTATAAAAAACACGGTTATAAATGTTTCAAATGTAATCGGTCTGACAGCATATAAAATACTTCATTTTTGATGCAACATTTATCTTGAATCTTCATACTTATTGCATAACAGTATCAATTATGTAAAAGACTTCACCATTGCAGGGTTAAAAAAAATAGGCAGAGACGGGATTTATTAATCTTTTTATATTGTCCTTTGAAATATATTTTCCAAATCAAAAGGATAAAAATATCTGTGTAATGGCTAAATAATGACTCTTTTGTTTTGTCCGAAAGTTTTATGTGAATTGTATGGACCGAATGAAGTGAATATTTGATCAGATTTCGGCCGAAACATCTTAATTACTTTATAGTTACTCACTTACACACTTGATCCCTTCGACGACTCAGTTTTTTCCACGGTTTCGTGTCCTAAAATAATTCATAAAACCAATTGATGTAGAAATATTATTGTTATCTAGAAATAAGTGCACAGATTTGCGTTATAATTGGTATGTAGATTAGTTAATGAATCATATTCTATGTGTTATTGAACCGTTAAAACACTATTATATTATGAAATAAAATTTTAGATTCTTGTTATCTGTTAATAATTTTGTTTGAGAGGAAATAGTAATTTCTTGTTGTACTTAAATTTTTTTTATCGTAATCAATAAGTGTCCTCCTTGAATGTTCAAGTCTGAAATATTGTATAGTGATGTATTATAATGGTCATTTTGTTTCATGTCTTAGGAGAGGCAGAGATTGACCAATCAAAATCAAAGAATTAAAATTCCGGCCATGCGGTGCGTCACTCTGCCTCTTCTCCCACCTACAGCCTTGGAGGACGGACTTTTTTTTTTCAAGTTTGTTATTTACTTCCTTCCACCCCGCCTCCGCCAAAAGTTTTGGTTGTAATTTATATTTTAAGCGTTCTCAGACCCATTTTCATGATTTTTCTGTTAAGTCTAAATTGTAAATACTGGAAATTTGGATTATCTCCCTTTACAAAATTGGTTTATTTCTCATATTTATATTTTGTGTCTGTTAAAATTATATACCATTGTTAATAATACTTTTGAGAATTTAAA